TGGCTGGGGGAACCAGGCTGGCACCACCCCCCTCTGCCTACTCCAGGGCCGCCGAGCCAGAGAGACCCCCCCCCGGGCATGGCCAAGGAGGGGGAAACCCCCCAAATTTGGGGTTCAGCTCTCACCCCACCGTGGTGGCCTCGGCTGAGCAGTGGAGGGACCCCTGTCCCCCCCCGGGAGGAAACCAAACCGTCGTGGCGGGCAGCCAAAGCTCAAGGTCTGCCCACCCCCCTCTGCCTACTCCAGGGCCGCCGAGCCAGAGAGACCCCCCCCCGGGCATGGCCAAGGAGGGGGAAACCCCCCAAATTTGGGGTTCAGCTCTCACCCCACCGTGGTGGCCTCGGCTGAGCAGTGGAGGGACCCCTGTCCCCCCCCGGGAGGAAACCAAACCGTCGTGGCGGGCAGCCAAAGCTCAAGGTCTGCCCTCCACCTGCCCCACGGCGCGGGCAGAGGATGCCACGGGCTTTCCCAGGGCGAAGGGCAGGCGGGACGGGCGAGCGGCAGCGGCAGGGCCAGATCCTGGTGGGATCCCGGCTCCGTCCCATGGGCTTCGGCCCTGCCTGCTCCTCCAGGTCCCTGGCTGGGCACCAGGAAGGGCAGTCAATGATCCATCCTGCCTGGATCACTCTCGCGGGCAGTGCCACCGCGGATCACTCCGTCTGCCCGCAGGCAGCCACCAAGGCGTCCGGCAAAGCCCATCGGCCATGTGCCCACAGGGCTGCCCCTGCTCCGGTGCTCCCCGAGCTGGGGCTGCCGGTCATCCCCTCCCAGCCAGTGCACGGATCCGGCCCCAGGGATGGGGTTGGGGCTGTGGGGACACGCCAGTGTGTCCCCAGTCCAGAGCTGGGAACTCCCCAGCACAACCCCTCTGAGCAGGGCGAGCTGTGGGGTGCCAGGAGCAGAGAGCACCCGTTGAGTCCCCACGATCCTGCACCAGCTCAGCCCCACCAGGTGTTTGCTTCCCAAACCCCCCCGGTGCCGGACCTGCCCCCCAACACGGGGCTGCCTGCAGGCAGGCCTGGAGCAGGTAGCGGGGTCAAACCCTGCTGGGGGCTTTTGGGGTTGCTGATGCCCACCTTGGGGCCACCGATGCCCACCTTGGGGCCACCAGCCCCGTCCCCGTCCCCTGCCAGCCCCGTCCCTGCGTGCCCGGCCGAGGCCCCGGGGCAGGCAGGGCTCCTGCCCGGGCTGCTCCCGCTCCCTCCCGGCCGCTCTCCCGGGCTGGGCAGGGTGCG